TTCCTCGACGTCCATCACGATCATCAAGGCAGACAAAGCGCTGAAGATCTTTTTTCTTTTTCATTTTTTACCTCGGGCCACCCTAGATGAAAATTTGGCAAACTTTCCTCCTTCTCTAAGATTTTTTAACCGTACTTAAAATTACTTTGCGAGTATTGAGAAAACTTTGATTTCGAAAATGTTTTCAAATTGTGACAGCAAACAGAAAAAGTATGAAGTCACAAATGCGTTTATATACTCTTATCTAAGCTGGCCAGTTGACTATTGAGAGCGCGTACTATGTCAATTATTTTATAAATCATCATGGTGTTTGACCTAGGTAGGACTGGATTGCATTCTCAATAAAGGTGCATGCAGAGCAACAAGAAAAAAAGATTATAAGTTAAAAACATTTCCTTACTCCTTCGTAAGTGCAAAACATTTCAAGGGCCATAAACAAACAACAACTTCTAGAAAAAACAGAACATGAAATATTAAAAAAAGTAGCGCAGTTACATCTACATCCCGTTAAAAATTCGATTAATGGACAAGTTAGATCTCTTTATGGTTTTTCACAGGATTGCGGGAGCGGGTCCATACGGGCATTATGATAAGTTAAAGTATTTTGGCTGCCAACTGGCCTGGCAGTTTCTTAATGAAAGAGAACGTCTGAGTTATGTGTAAGTTTCAGGCCCAGCCTATCAGTCAAAGCCCCGTGAAAAATAGAAATAGTTATTTTGTTACCTGGACAATTAAAAATTGCGTTGCACCTCCTCCATTCTGTAGCTCGTCCCAGTCGATAACATGTTCGTCCTCCATATTTTGGCGCGGGATTGGTACATGTTCGAGAGCGCAACTGATATCCAAATCCACATGACTTGCTACACATACTCCATGTACCCCATGAAGAGTAACCTCCATCAACTGATAAGAGAAGTGTTAAGTGGTCAAATAACACTCGTAACCAAAAAAAGGTATAGTACCACTCGAAACTGAAATAAAATGCTAATGAAGATGAGACGTGTAGGAGGTTTGGTTTGATTAAATAAATGTTCTTCCATTGTTAGTTTTCGGCCCCCTTGACACTGTGGCACATACTTTAGTGTGCATTTTTGCCAACATTTTATAATAAAATGATGAAAAGTGTCTTGGAGGGTATTTTATCGTAGTTCATTTAGTAATTGCAAAAATTTCCTCGAAAAAAACATAGAAAATGTTAAGTTACAAATGCGTTTATATACTCTCATCTAGTGTGCACGCACACTATATCAATTATTTTATAAATCGTCATAGTGTTTGGACCTAAGTAGGACTGGGTTGTTATTCCTGGATTGTTATCCAGCATTCTCAAGAAAGGTGAATGCTGGATAACCAGAAAAAAAATTATAAATTAAAAACGTTTCCTTTCTCCGTCGTAAGCGCAAGTACATTTCCTGGGCCGTTAACAAACACCAACTTCTACAAAAACAGAACAGGAAATATTGAAAATACTCGCAAAGTTACATCCACATCCCGTTAAAAATTCAATTGATATTCAAGTCAGGTTTCATTATGGTTTTCCACAGGTTTGCGGGAGCGGGTCCATATGGGTATTATGATAAGTGAAAGTATTTTGGTTCCCAACTGGCCTGGCAGTTTCTTAATGAAAGAGAACGTCTGAGTAATGTGCAAGTTTCAGGCCCAGCCTATCAGTCAAAACCCCGTGAAAAATGGAAATAGTTATTTTGTTACCTGGACAATTAAAAATTGCGTTGCACCTCCTCCATTCTGTAACTCGTCCCAGTCGATAACATGTTCGTCCTCCATATTTTGGCGCGGGATTGGTACATGTTCGAGAACGCAACTGGATTCCTATTCCACATGACCTGCTACACGTACTCCATGTACCCCATGAAGAGTAACCTCCATCAACTGATAAGAGAAGTGTTAAGTGGTCAAATAACACTCGTAAGTGAAAGTATTTTGGTTCCCAACTGACCTGTCAGTTACTTAATTAAGGCGAACGTCTGAGTAATGTGCAAGTTTCAGACCTCAGCCTCTCACTCAAGACCTCGTGAAAAATAGAAATAGTTATTTTGTTACCTGGACAATTAACATTTGTGTTGCACCTTCTCCATTCTGTAGCTCGTCCCAGTCTCCGCTGTTGATAGCATGTTCGTCCTCCATATTTTGGCGCGGGATTGGTACATGTTCGAGAGCGCAACTGATTACCAAATCCACATGACCTGCTACACTTACTCCATGTACCCCATGGAGAGTAACCTCCATCAACTGATAAGAAAAGTTTGAAGTTGTAAAGATCTCTTTTAGCGAAAAAAAAAAACAACAAAAAAAACAACAAAAAAACAACAAAAAACAACAACAACAACAAAAAAAACAGGATGTAACGATTTAGAGGGCTAACGCTCGAAATGTCACCTTTAAACTCTTTACGGTGGCCAATTTACGTTATCAACTCAGTTAATAATATCAAGTTACACTGTTATAATGATTCTCATGAGCAGACGGAAAGTTTGATAGACATTAATTCGTTAATTAATTCCTAACAGAGCCAAAACGTCCCTTTCCAAATTACACAGTGCTGTGATGATTTTAAATCCTTCAGAAAGCAAACATTATGTATTTTAAGGAAGCGCTGCCGGAATAGGGCGGAATAATTTCTTGCCTAGTTTTAAATAATATATATATATATATTGTATAATTACATTTTACTGTTTATTACCTAGCTTTTTACAAATTCATAATTCAGATTCATGTATTTTTATTTATTATTTATTTTTTCTTTTTATTTTATATCAGGCGAAGAGCCATACCGTGGATGTACTGATAACCACAATTATTTCAGTCAAGGATTGCCAGGGTAGTTGCCTTGGTTTAAAAATAATAAACCGTGATTTGCCATACGCTTGCAATTTTTACTGCATCAGCCTTGCAATAGACCTCTTGCATGTTTTGGTTACCCATTTCAGGTCTCATGAGAATTCCCAGCTTTATCTTTTGTAAATTATGCTTACATATGTAAATTGAAAGAAACAGTTCTCTAGATTATTATCACATGACCTGAAATGTGTAAACAAAACATACCGGCTATAGAGGCCCATGTAAACAATAGCCTCCATTTGGCGCAAACATATGCACGGATATATAACGCGAAAATTATCCGTTCCGAGATGCGAACAGTTTTCCGGGAGCGAAGCTAGAGGAAAAGTGTGAGCTTTGAAATTATTAGACGTTAAATACCTTTAAAGACGGCCTTCTTATCCAAACTGGAAAAACTCCTGTGTGGCATCTGAAAGATTCACATCATGCAAATCAGGCTGCTTCTACACCTAGTCTTTTTACAGTTTGTAGACTGGAATCAAATGCTTGGAGTCCTACCAACCCCCAACCCTCCCCCCCCCCCCCCCAAGCGAAAAAAATTACAAGTCCTCCTATTGTATATGAATGTGTACGAGTGAATGGATGCGCAGCTTGCGATGTCGTTTCGCGGACTTTACTTCAACATATTCCTCACTAGGAGGGTCTGTGAACTAACCAATGGTTACTTAATCAAAGAGAGTGGTAAGGACGTGTCATCCTATATGATAAACTACTCTTGGATATTGTTCACGGACACGGTTAGCATGAACTCTGATTTCGATCATTTAATTGTCCCATCATCGTTCTACGCACATTATAAATGGAAGATAAATGAAAGCCGATGACAAAAAATACCTGAATATTTACTTGTGTTGACATTTTTCCCCTTTGGAAATTCAACTTTAAAAGACCATGTTGATGTAGAAAAGCTCATTCTTAAACATTTTAAGGACGAAATCAACCTACCTCTACTGCATTTGAATGTGAGATGCAATTGAACAAAACCACGGTGAAGGCAACAACTGAGGGAATCTTCTAGGAGAAAACAAGAAATGAATCACAAATTGATCCTTTGTTGTAATACCAGTGCGTAAGGTGACAGAAATTATTTCTTTTCTCATTTAAGAGTTCGCACGGGTTGTTTTAAGTGCAGAATTATACAACAGTAAGTTGAAAGAAATAAAGGAAGCTTTGCGTCGAGAATTGTGTTGTGATTACTAAAAGTGTTTGATACTGCAATAAGAGCATACTTACCATTTTTGATTGAATACGCAGTTTTATCAGGGTTTTCTGTGTTTCTATCACTAACGTCTCAGAACTCGTTATCTTACTACATGAAATCTTGTTATTTATACTTAGCATCATTACGAGGAGAAAAACGGATGTTTTTAAGAAAGAAAGATTGACCGACCTCAAGACAATGGGTATTTTTTATGCCTGTCACGTACTCGCTGAGTCACGTTTGCTCTGGTTTTCAGCTTCCCTTTTATCTGTCACGTTTTCTCAAAGAGCACTAAAGGTGGTTCGGGGGACAAACTTTAACGGCATGGAGTTGATCCATCTATGAGAAAAGACATATCTTTATAAAAAGATTATCTGATCATAATTATATTCCTCCCTTAAACTATGTTTGCTCACCCCTAAACATAAAATCTTGATATTATCAATCGCGTGCGCGTGTTTTGGTACACATCCTTTGTTATAGCAAAGCGTGACTTTAATGTCTACAGTTCAAGGAATTTCAAAAATAGGAAGTTGGTTGTAAAATTCATGTCAATATCAGAGAAAGGTCGTGTTATGAACTTTTTTAAATAGTTCTTAAAAGAATAATGTGCACTCACAAAAAAGATATGACGAAACAAAGCAAGAAGAAGTTTATGTGCCATTATTTTCTCTGGGGTCAAGTTCGCAGTGTTTATTGTCTGAGTGATAAAGACCTATATCGGAAGTTAACAGAATAACCAGCTTCCTTCAGCCATAGGGTAGGTAAATTTGTTGACATGGCCACGGTCAGTGGTTCATGTCACTAGTGTTAAAAACCGTTTCAGCTTCTTTTAGCGTTGGTGTAACACGTAATAATCTCAACTTCTTCCATTTTCGTGTCAGCAGAGCTGAAACGTTGAGCATATGACTGGTGAAGGCACAGCAGTCACGGTAGAGAGCAGAACAAAGGCCCAGGCTTCCATTTCGAATAACACTGTTTACACTGGCGGATCTTCACCTGATCAAATCAAGCTTCAAATCGCGACAGAAAATATACCTGTCGAGAAAATGGTAAGTTCTGTAGCTTTCTTTGTGAAATCTTACATTTGAGATGTTTGTCGCATCAGGCAATTTAATTTATCAGTGATCTGTCAGTCAGGATTATTTCTCTCTTTGAGACATAAGAATGACTACTACACCCTACAGATAACTAATTTGATTTAATTCTTCGTTTCTACAAACTCTTCAAACAAAGAGCATTCTACAAAAGATTTCAAATCAGCACTTTGTCGTCTTTGTCTTTCAGATTGTCTTTTTGGTCAGCATTCTTCTAATCACCTTCAATGGAGTTCAAGTAGTTGATTGCAATGTAAGTTATGATTAATGATTTCATCAATTTTCTCGACTAGTTTTGTTATGACGTGTTTTGCATTTATTTATTTATTTCCTCTTAGGGGAAAAACTGTCAGATACTTTACCTAGATATTAGAGTATATCATAAGTTATAAGTCAACTAAAAAATCAATATAATTATTTTCATCGGCATAATAATTGTTATTATCATAAACAAGGGATTATATTTTTTTGTCATAAATATTTTCATCAATATCGTTATCAATAGTATCATTTTTTTCATTTCATCGCGACAGTCTGAGAGCTATTCCTTCCGCGTTTCCGAAAATGGGGCAACGTTTACCGAAGATGTGGAAGTGGATGTCGACAATCAAACCGAAGTGTTCCGTGTTCCTCAGCACAACGATGTGGATGCAATGGAAATGATGAATGACTTTAGAGAGGTGCGGTGTTAATAAACACGAGTAAATCTGAGCTTTCAGTTCGAAAAATTTGACAAGTGCTTATGTATGCTAAATTACGCGGAAAATTATGGGATTACTTAAAAATAATACACATAAAAAAGGAAGAAAAAAATATCAACATGAGATATTTTGACTGCACACGTACTTTTAAATTAAGTTTTTTCAACTACTTGGTTGCAACAGATTACAATGTTTGTCAAATTCAAGTTTTATGAGACCATTATTCTGAAAAAAAAAATTACATCTGTGATCTTAAAAACGTTTTAAGATTGAATTTTTAAAACCCATTCAAAATATAAATAGAATAAGAGAGATAGTAAGTTTTTGAGCTCGATAAAGAAATAGAGAAAGATGTTTTTCGGCTTTTCACGAGCGTGGGTTCTACTACTGAGCCACAGGGACACAGAGACTGTGAGCGAGGCCTATTACGAAGTTCATATGACACGCGTCCTGCATACTGCTAGGATCAGAAATGTCGGTAGCGTCATGTTTGCAAAGAGAATAATAGAGATGGTAAGTTTTGAGATGTTTTTCATCGGAATCCGAAGGTCTGAGGTTCGACTCGAATGGGGACTCGAATTTTTTCTTTGTCCTACGCTTGTGACAAGTCGAAAAACATCTTACGCCATTCAAAATATGTTGTTTTGTAATTTGCACCGTGATACGTGAGAACTTCACTCTTGGCTAATCCGGCAGTACTGACTAATTTTTTAACAGGGGAAGGGTAGAGACTAGGGCCCCCCTCACCTCCCCTGACCTGTTTTCTTACGCTAATGGTGAAGATTGAAAACATAAATATATTTTTCCTCAGGGTTTGTCTGTTTACCGAGTACCATCAGCACGTGCCTGCTATGTAGCTAAGCTGGATTCATCTTTTCCTGTGCCAGAGAAGATGAAAGTCAACTTGGGGCATGTAAAAGTGAGGAGCTCTGACGGGTTATATCTTACTGTATGACAAGACTCTCTTTGGGCATACTTGGACTTTCTGACTGCTGAAGCAGATATGCTATTTTTTTCATGAAGAAATACGTTATTCGCAAGTAAAAATTAAGGGAACCAATTTTCAGAGAGTTAATTTGCAATATAAAATGTTTTATAACTGAGTTCGTCGCTCTTAATACCACACTCGTTCTACGTTGCAGACTTCGATGCAGCCCAGGTTACCCAGCCGGGTGACAACAAATTAAAAGAAAGAGCTTGGAGGGTGGTCAGTTTCGCGCAACGATCAGCTTTGCCTCAGAAGTTTCTGGATTTCTGTGGCAGCTTTCCAATCTATACCATTGAACAAACGTCGATTGATTCGGCAACGAGGTCTTTAAGCAGAGGTAAAATAAATTTTATGAAAACAATAAAAAGCAACTGCCGCTTTTTCAATAGGCTTATAGCCATATAAATCGACAAAATTCAGTTCAATTACCCATTTTTGATGATGTGTATGGACATGTACATGAATTATTTATCTCAAAGGACACAATTCAATGGCGAAATCATATTTGGAGCCGCGTGAGATTTCACATAATAATATATCCTGTGTCATTTTGTTATCGAACTGAACTTTAGTTTGTGGCTTTGGCTATCATCTGTCACTTACTCTTACTTACTGATGTCAGTTTACTAGGAAAAAATTAAGACACTAATATGAACAAGACTCAGGTACAAGCTATTTCTAAGGACAAGACAAATATACGTTGGAAGACTTTTATTGTTATTTGTGGTAATGATTATGTATTTATTTCCTTTAAGGTTTTGGCCGTCGAAAGCGGAGTCATGCTATCAGGGAATTTTCCTTATGTAGTCAGGATGATGTGAAAACAGCGATACGTTGTTTCCAAAAGGAAATCAATCGACGACGGAAATACGCATCTAAGGACATTCAATATAGTATAAGATGCAAATATGCTACACATTGTGGTACTTACATTGTAGACTGTAAGCCCACAGGTATGGGTGGTTTTACGTGTGAGAAGTTAGTTCATTTTGTAAACTACATTGGTTTTTGCTGTTCTTTTGTATGTTAATGTTAATATGATTTATCTGAATGGGCCAATTTAAGATTGTAGAAACAAATTATACAAAGATTCTTTAATTCATTGGCAGGCTGCATTGATAACCCCTCTAGCTAGGCATCACTAAAATGTGTAAACTGTAAGCTACTATAAGGTATTTCTAGTGATATTTTCGAAATAGTATAAGAAACGCGTAGTTTGCCTTCGTGTCACAAAAACTTTACCACTTTTTTTACCAAATAAAAAATTAAAAGGGCTTTTTGACTACATCTTTGTAGGAAAAGGGAAGATAGGAGATGCACTGAAGCATGTATTGGACTGGGCGAAAATTCTAAAAACTAAACAAGGGTTAATTACATTTACTTGGAAGTTGAATCAATCGGCGGCTTAGGAGTTTTTTACTTGTGCAAGCATTCTGGACCTTTTTTTTTAAAGAATTGTTTATGGCGGGTACGTCTAGAAACATTCGCTGTGCTCCTCGGTGTTGACCCTCATGATTGCCCCTATTTTAAGATTTCTTATCTCAAACAGTTTTTGAAGGAAGTGCAGTTTCTTTTTCGTATAACCAAACAGGTGTGGTCGGCAAAGTCAAGACAACATCTAGCAGGATCTTGAAAGTCACTCACAGATTCAGTATTGAGCCCCCAGATATTTTTAAATCGGTTTGTCACGCATTGCATTCCTCTCGATAACATTTGCGTTTTGCGGCTATTCGAGATCAGTGGTGGCGCGTAATTGCCGCTCAGATCGAAGAGAAACCGGAACCCAAATAGGTCAAATAGGAAAAACCGAAAACCGCATCGGATATCAAATCCAAAAACCCGTTAGTATTTTTCGCGAAAACTGAAAACCAAATGCTAAAAAACCGGAAAATCCGCAAACCGCAATGAACACCAAAACCAAAAAACCGATCTAAAAATTAGCCAAAACCGCAAAACCGAAAATCTCAATACCCTTCTCCCCTTTCATTCAGTGGTTGTTTCACCACGCGTGTCAGCCAGGGTACCTTTTGTCCCCTGACTCGCACGCGGATTCTTGGGGCATGAGAATCGGCGACTTCACAAAAAGCTTTTTAAATAAGTCCCACGACTCCTCAACATTTGCGAAGGAATTTATTAATGAGCATGGAACTTTGTCTAGATCTTCATTAAAAGCATCACGATTGAAACGCTTGAAATTCCGGGTATCAATTACTCTCGGAGGAGGCGATTTTAAACGATGTAGTTTACGGACAATAAAAATTGCAGAGCGATCACTAAAACCAACCGGTTTTACTCCCTAGACATATAGGTAAACGGTCAGTTATGCGAGTGAAATTGTCAATGATCTATCGCACACTAAACTCTTTCGTCATGTTGATAAAGCGCTTAGTAGATGCAGGTTTATTCGACTGTTTGAAGTCGAAATTCAGATCCCTGGTACGGACAATTTCTTTTTCCCGATCAGCCAACATGTCAACATGTTTCTCAAGCCCTCGACGTAAGCTGCTTCGTTATCCACATTCGGTGGGCGATAGCAGGAACGGAAAATAAAACCTTTAGTTTTTGGAGGTGTTATTTCCATCCTAAGGCACTGAAGATCCGGTTGATTATTCTTAAACTCTTGAATAACCTTGTAATCGAGGTTCGAGGAGACGTAAATGAGAACACCACCTTACAAAGGATTTTATCTCTCCGTAAGAGTGAGTAGCCGTGAAGCGCGTGCGGTAGGTGGGTCTCGCAAAAATACAATCTCGAGCGTAGTACAGATTCAATTTCAGGTTTTTCATGATTCATCAAGCCTCATATTGATTAAAAGAAAAATGGCTCTTTATTGTCATCGTTTAAGTCCATTTTATGCGCCGATCAATTCGACAATTTTAACATCCCCCTGGCAACCCACGGGCATTTTACCGTCGTCCATTCCCGGGGAGGTGGGGAATTTGAACCTTGCCTGGCTGAGGTGGGGAATTTGAACCGGAAGTGTCAAGATAATACAGCTGGTTGAAGTACAGCGGAGTAAAACTGTTCACAATCAAGCTTGTTTGGTTCATTCCATGTCATCACGGTTGATGTTCCCCACTTTCTCGCCTCTTTTGAAATGCTAGTGTACAAGGAAAGTCTACACAGATATTTCACTCTTCATTCATTATGAAAGAAATTTATTGTTAAAGCAATTACACTGTTACATGAATCAATATTTGTAGTCGAATAATCCTTGGATAATATCTTTTACAAATAACCTCTTCTATTTACTTACTCTGCTTTAAAGCATCTTAGCCCAAAACAAAAAGTCTTTCAACAAAAATTGAGGCGAAAAAATCTCTTACATACACATGTTCAAAACAAAGAAAAGGAGAAAAAGTTGGCTAATCTCCGTTTGTTCCGGTTCATCACGGTTTGTCTTTTTTTCCCTGTTTACTCATGATTTTCTAGTAAAACGCTGGAACATGATGGATCTTACACATTTCAATTCTCATCAGATGTAAAAAGAAAAAAAATTATTGCCATGGCTGGAAAATAGTGACATGAGTCTGCATTTCACTGACAAATCATTCTAAGAATGCATCTTGTGAAAATAATATCCGCCTACTACCTGCCTTGTATAAAGTGAGTAAAAAAAGCATCTTCTGGAAAAAGGTCGACTATGTTTTAAAGGAAAAGTAAGCAAATAATCAACGGATAATCATTTATGCCAAGAGTGATCAGTGGTAAGTCACAAATGAGCGATAATTTAAAATGTTTCAACATATGGGATAACAACAGATACCAGTGTAATTAATGAAATGTGCATCTTCTGAGCATTCGTAGCCACCTCCACTTTTTGGTTTGCAGGTATACACATAAAAACAAGTGTAGGTCTCGTAAGTGCATTTCAAGTCATATGCAACATGAGTACCATCCAAATAGCCTTTTCTATTTCCGTTTTGTTTTACCAAACAATCCAACCACTTCTTTAGGCCTTCCGGGGTGCATGTCGAGATGTCTTTTAAATTGTGACTCCGTCTCCCACGTCCATGACCTAGTAAAAAATATAAACCAGAAAAAAACATATTGGTGAACTGAAGGCTCTGAAAACCTAAAAGAGAGAAAATTGTAGGCCAGCAATTGCCCTTTCCCTCAAGAGAGATTTTAAGGAAACGAATCAAAGCGTAGTTCCTTAGACAGGTCAAGAAGGTATTAAGGAATAACAAACTATCCAGAGCTAAATATTATGAGGTTCGAGGGAGCGATCGCTTAGAGCTACTTCAAAAAGAAGTCTAATAAAAGTAAGGCACCAACGAGATTCAAATATACAAAAAGCTTTATTGTCGCGAGTAATCTTCTTCAAATTACTCTTCATGCCTACATGAACGTTAATTTCTCTCACCTCGCTTGACCATCGATTTCACTTTATCGAAATTCAAAGAAGTTTTTTCAACTCTGAAGATAGGAAATCCACCACAAAAATCGATAAACGTTTGGGGTAAATCCAGTCGACTTGCATAGCCCACCACTTTCCAACCAGTCTTCTTAATCGTCATATTTGAGGAGGAAAATTGCCCTCGTAAAGACATCTAGAATGATAACAGGGAATACGTGACAAATAACAACAAGCCAAGGCCTATTTGTACATTAACTACGAAAAAAAAAAGTTTTATCCAACTTCTCTACCGAAGAAGAAAAAAGGTAATTTCCCTAAGACCCACGGAATCCTTTAAGAGGTGACAGCAAAAACGTTGTTCCCATGGCATTTTTTAAGGAACAACGCAGCCAATCTTATGGCTGTCTACAAAAGACTAGGTCACGGTACTCCGGTCAGGAAAAGGAAGGAGAAAAAGCTTCGTCAAGAAAAGTTTGCCCACAACTCTACTAAATTTATAACTTTCACCTCTAAATTTTGCAAATATGGTATTCCCCTCAGTGATGACTTCTCGAGACGTTACGAACTGGGGCTTGCCTTTAAAAAGACTTTGTCAGTATTACAATGCAAATCCTGGCTAAAGTTCAGATCGATAGATAATGATTAAAACCTTGAGTTTGCCTATTAATTGGATTTTTTTGTGTCACGAGGTCGATCAGTGAAATATTCCGTCTCATTTCCCCGAGAATCGTTGACCCATCCAAACATATCGGATTAAGAATTACTTGTTCAGAAACGGATCGAAAGAAGGCAGAATGGGAATTATTGTGACAAAGTCTGTTTTAGAAAGTAGCAAAATAAAACAACCCTATGAAATATCACCAGTAATAATTATTTACTCAATTAATTTTAAAATATCCCTTTGAAGCTGAATTTAAGAAGATTGACGTCGTTGTAAGTGTCCTAATTCTTGTATATTTGGCAAATGATGAATGAAAGATAAAATATGTGTATGTACGTATATTGACAACTCCCTCATGGAAGCCAATACGAAAAATTGGATAACTGGCAGGAGTCAGACCAGTTGGCTATACATAAAGCGCAAACTGAGAACAAATCCAGAGAGTGTCAGGGTAGAGGGCTTGAACCAGGAACTACCAGATTACAAGACCAGTGCCCTAAACACTCGGCCACTCCGTCTCTCATAAGTAATACCTCTTCCATATTGAACTTCATCTGCTCTGGCCGGGGAATAGATAAGTCCAGGTGGGATACATAGCAGACTCTAGCTGATGGCATTCGGCGAACAGTTAAGCCCTAGAAAAAAAGAAAAAGAAAACCATTAAGGATTATGCCTCCTCACTTTCCCTAAATGTCTCATGCAGGAGGACGGCATAATATAATTCAGAGATCTACTTTTTAAAAGTCAGAATCAATCTAGAGCTTTTTGTCCTGGGGTCCCGCTTCGATTTGTTACGAGATTCTATGTCTGACCTCACGTACAGTATTGAACACGGTAAAGCCTATAATGACGATTTAGCGAATTCTCAACTGCAAACACCTCATGCCTGAAAAGTCCTTAAAAGAAGACCTGATGGAAAGACTTGGAAATATTATTTCTCATCTGTCTAATGGCTACAAAAATCTGCCCGAACTCATACCATACTCTTGTTCAACCCACATGCATTGTGTAGGGTCATTCACTTCCACACTTCTTTTGTGTGTCCTATATATTAGCATTTGCAAGAGTTCTTTAATCATGCATGTACATTCATTAGCATCTGGGTTCAGTGTTAGCATCAATTTTTTTTTTGCTTCAGACAAAAAGCGTAGAACCATCTGATTTTCTTCCTTTTTCGAGTAAGAGTCCTTCAATTTATTTCCCCACAGGGAACGGCCGGAGTTAAAATTGTCTTTCTCTAGGATATCAGGTAACGCTAGAAAATCCTTGGTTTGCAGACGACGTCATAAAAATACAATGTCCAAAATACAAAGGCTATTACAGTTTTACCTCCAAAAGACGAAAGACCTCCTAAAAATTAATCTTTTGGTATGGTTGCAGCCTCGTAGGGTTCTTCATTTTGAAAATAGAGCCATTTCTACTTTCATAATTTTTTGTCATTTGACATTGAAATCGCGGCCCGGAAACCTGACACATCTATAAAATAATTGTATCGTGTGACCTTTTGTTCCTTGGGCATTAAAAGTTTTAGAAGATGTTTTTGCAAGTTCACAGTGGATAACTACTCATTTAACTGGCAAAACAACGGTACATGTTCTGATTGAAAACTGTTCTTTAAGCACTTTCCTAGAAATATAATTGAAAATATGGCGAAGTGTAGTTGGGCAAAATCATCCGCGTTCCAGAGTACTCGCACAACCGGTTTTTGATCCGATAGAAGAATTTCGTTTCTTGGAAGAGTTTTTCAATTAAATCGACGCAGAATTTCCTGGCTGGGAACTCGAATGGTTTCATACCCGGCTAGGTCAATAGAACATCTATAATTCTCCCTGCTTATTGTTGAGTACACCTTAAGGATACAATATACTTTCAGGGGCGAAATTTTTCGATTTGCTGTAAGTATTAAAGTGTAATATATTGGATTTGATCACTTTGGCAGATGAAAAAAATAATTTAGGAAAACATCAGATTCCGATCTTAGTAAACAAATCGTCTATCGAAACGTTGAAAGTGCTTTTCTCTGCTTTGAGTTTCGAACCGATTGGCCAAACATTTTCGAATTCGGGACTCACAGAGTTAAAACCTTGATGATTGGCACAGAGTAAGCTCAACTGCATTGCGGGCACTATCAGCCCTTACGTAATGGAAGGACGGGGAAGGAGGTAATGCGCAGGCGCGATTGCGTGCGTAACTTGGATACCCCATAGTTTGCGCCAAGACACACCGGTAGATGACAATGAAGTGTCCATACTCACTGTTCTCACGTGTGTACTCTTCAAACGACCGGTGATGTCTTTAAACGCGAAGTAGTTTACCGTCGTTTCTTTCAATATTGGCTCATTTTCCTAAACCGAAATTATCAGTCACGCTCGACAGAATATAATTTTAGCTGATTCTGACATCATACGCTTCATCTGAAGAAGGAAACATTCCCTGTCTTCGAAAATTTTCTCAAAACATTAAGGTCCTTAGCTGCTAGAAGATATCGCTGACTAGCATACGTGTTGGTCGCTTTGAAAGTCCCTAGGTTCCAGACCTGGTTAAGTTTTCTCTCCTCCCCACCCCCCTGGACTGTTCCCTAATCCCCTTGAAGAAACTCTTCTACAACCACTGCTGAAGAGTTTTATTACAGTTTTTATTATAAAGAAGGGCTGGAAAATAAACTATAAAGAGCTCCGCTATTAGGCTTGGCTAAATCTAGATATTAATATGCTTTGCATGCCGTCAAAAATTTTGTTACAGTTGGCGCGCCATACACCATAGACTAAACACAGGCCGACAACCCTACATTGTTTTTATTTTGCAGCGGTCGATCTCGGCAAGACGCGAGTGATCCCGAGAAATGTTTCATAAATACCGCAAATCATAACATTTCTTCCCCAAAATCCGCTTCATGACGAAATAAATAATGTTCACGAAACTTTGTTTTTCTGTGTTGTCTCGAGTGATTTTGCAGGGTTTTGGGACGGTTAATTCCCCACTTTGCACTGATGCCCCTCCAAAGGCAAAGGAAAAACACAAGGCCTGCAACTTCCAGAACCGGCTGAGCCGAAAACCTCCAGAACTTCCCCGAAGTTCTTCCGCTTCCAAATGTCGCTCATCTCCCAGGTTCGGGCAAATAATGTGGACCGAATGTCGGAAATCGAGCAGGCTTTTGAGGCGGTTAGAGGCGGGCAATTGCACTGGTTTTTGGCTCAGCGTTTATCGATTTTTAACGTGCCCGTCACTTGCGTCTCGCCGAGATCGATCGTTGCAAATTACAAACAATGTAAGAGTTCAACTAACGTATCAAATAACTGACGTCACTCGGCCTCAAACCTACAGGGTTGTCTACCTGTGGACTATGTTTTTGCTTGATTGATCTAATTTTGTCGCGTATGCAAATCTGACTCGATCTCCCAATGTCAATAAGTTTGAATAAAAACAACAACAACAACAACAACCATGTTTACAAACTTATGAAATTACCGAGTCCCTCACTACACACAAGGAGTCTATATTTTTTAGATGACAGTGGAACATCTTTTTGTAAAGGGCCCTAAGTTTTTGATCACACACTTACCAAGTTAAAATCATTCATCATGTCCATTGCGTCCACATCGTTGTGCTGAGGAACACGGAACACTTCGGTTTGATTGTCGACATCCACTTCTAAAATCTCCTTAAACTCCGTTCCCCTTTCAAGAATGTCAAGGGAGTAACGGTCAACCTGCAGTTTCGCCAAAACGGTACCTTCAGTCTATTTATATTTAAAACCTTTCACCTTCTATTTGCAAACCCAACAAATGAATTCTTTTGCCCTGTACGTCTTACATCAATTCAAAGGGCTTTTTAAGTAATAATCTTGCATCAAGTTTATTTTGCTAGGCCAAAACTTTTGTGGGGGAGATATTGAAGAGGAAAGTGTTTTTAATTTGTTCTACCGACAATTCGTGTAAGACACACATAGAACCCGGAGAAACAAAAAATTAGTACCTCGTAGTTTACTTGGACTGTATAGAAGGAAATGAGCAGAACGCCGACCAAAGAAGCAATCTGAAATTTCAAAACGTTAAACAATAATTAAAAAAGCAGCTCATTTGAGACTGTTTTAAAAAGCTAGCACTGTAGTTATGGGTTACTACTTATCATCGGTGTGGATTCCAAAAAATTAATATTAGCCATCATGTTACAAACCGGTTTTGAATCAAAATGCGACTGATTAAACGATTTGGTCTTGAATAGAATGAAGGAACTATCCATTAAAAATTACTCTATGCACTTACATTCCGAGTGTTTGCACAATGTGTGAAGTCCTATCATTTTAATGGTCCTAGAAGTTTCAATTTGATTTTCAATCGAGAAAACTTACCATTTTCCCCAAAAATTTCCGCTGAGCTACGATCGAAGCTTTGTTCATGTAACAACAAAGCAAGTAGACGCCAGAGAGATTGATTCACTTTCTGGTGAGCCTTTGTTAGTAATATACATGGCGCTACAGCAATCTCGACACAAATGGTGGCTGTTTTGAAATCAGAGCTTCTTTGTCGAAGTTCCTCTTCAGCGTTATAGGAATTACTTTTCTTAATGGAAAAAGTCAGTCACACAAAGGAGGAAATACTTGTCTTGTTTTCTGAAATTCACGATGAAATTTAAGAAGTCAATTACAAAGGTTACTAGCTGCTTCTTCCCTTTTGGCTGAGAACTATTAATATATAATGAATGCGTGTTCAGGCCTCGCAAGCTGCAGTTACATTAACAATAAATATGTGTATTCTCCCTTTCTAGCATCTGATTTGCTTTGGCTTTTAATAGTATTTTGTAGTGTTAAAAATGGTTTTGGCCATGTTATAGTTATGTTGTACTTAATTTTTATGACTTCCGTGAAACCCTCCAGTAACGTCTGATAAATCGATCATTCGCAATGTACAGTACTAGTTTTAAACGGTATTCTATTTTGATAGTATTGAATTGTAAGATGTGACTTTAAAAGTCTAGAAATACCACTGTTGCATAAAGCAACAAAAGATTGTTCTTTGTAACGATTATTCCCTCAAATAATAAAAGCTTAAAAATATCGATCGCGTCGTTTTTTTGAAAGAATTCCAGTCGATGGCAGTATTAATTTGAAAACTGTGACAGTCTCTCAGTAAACTTCTGGCAACACCAATGTTGCTTAAAACAGGTCAGAGCTCCATGGGATCGAAGTTATTTTACAACTGCTTTGGTCGCAGTCAAACTGAGATGTACTGTCAATACTAACACACCTAAAACATATGAGTAACATTTAAAAAAAAGGGGACGTTTTGATTGTGGTTTTTAATAGTTGGTTGACCCAAAAAAATGAAAGCTTGAAATCATCGATTGCGTCGGTTAGTTGTAATACATCCAGTGCTATTCCAAAGTGTGAATCAGTCAAATATCCATGAACAGCGCAATGAATTTTTAGCAGTGAAAACCTGGGTGTAGAATTCAAGTGAATATCAGACTTAAGTCAGCTAAAAAATCTAAAAGATTTAGATACACTCAGAAACAAAACGATACTCAATGAAGTAAACATTTACAAAGCTGGGGAAGATTTCAAAGGATTTTGAAGAAAGAACGACCTTTCATTTTGGAGGTCATGTGAAGATCGCAGTGGTTGGTGTCTACACGATGAACACGTAACGCAGACAGCTTACAGAACAGCACTTCCTTAAGCGAAACAGTGAGACGAATACATTTATGAGGCCACGTTCAGTGATATATGTCAGTGTTTTAAGCCACTTTAGCCTCCTTTTGTGTTAGTGTATCATGAAGCAGTCTTATAACTTCTATTGCATCGAGTCTTATTTGAGTTCATAGGAAGTATCGTCTGAATGGTCAATGTGTTATTCAACGTTTTGTTATAAAACGTTTTGTTGTTGCTAAACCCCCCTGCTAAGATAACGAGAGTAACTGCACATGAATTCTTTTTATTCAAAGTTAACAGTTCAGAATAAACAAGATTGGCGAAATCATCAGTGTACGACAGTAGATAAATTTGAAAAGTTGTAGTTAAAATGCAAATGAACAACAATTTGTACGATAAAGTAAATTAATGTTGTTGAGAGAAAACAGAAATATTTAAGGGGAATGTGTTCCTTAATATCTTGGTCATGTTCATAGTAAGTCACATTTACTACTTTGTTCCTGGGTCACTTACTTCTTCCCTTTTCTCTGCATTTACACAGTTTTTCATGACACTACAGCTATTGCAGTGGCGATTTCCTGTTCAACTGACATGAAGTACGCGTTCATTACGTGCTCCAATTTAACCATGTACAACGGGTATCAGATCTCGGCAAAAATCTTGCGCATACCGTAAGCTTCGCCGTGTTATCATGTTGGCACCCCACTGCCACGCAATTGATGACAAGAATTTATGCATTTCCAATTCAGCAATCCTTATTATTTTTTTCCCTGTCAATTACGCGCTTCCCCACAAAATAAAATCGAAGAATGAGATAAAAATCACTATTAAATCTTAGAAGCCAGTCGCGACGGTAGTTTCAGTAAACCTCTTCGCTTAGGAGCATCAATGACGAATGCAAGACGAGGCCTCATTTGCTAAAATCGCATTGAAACTTCTTTTTTTCCTCTGTATTTTTTCCCCACCTCACAACAATAAAAACTGGAGTTGTGTCTGCCATACGTAAATACTTTGTCTCAATTTAACTTTCACGAAGCCCTCCAGTGAGTGAATGTTAATTGATCGGTCTGTATATTTGTTGTAAATTGTAAACGGTATTCTCATCCAATAAAGATGGAATCAGAGCTTCTGGCCTCATTTATTTTTACTTCCCTGACAACGTCTCTAAGCATCTAAAAACGACAAATCTGAAACAGCAGTAAGATCCCCGAAGTTATAGCTAAATTGTCACGCTTATACTTCAGTCGTCTGTTCGTGACATTGCGGTTTCTTAGAGGGTGATAACGCAACACGTTGGACTTTTTAACAACGGACAATTGTTTGTAGAATTCTCGTGAATTCAAAAGAAGCACTCACAAAAAAAGGATAACAAAAACGATGGCTTTATCCAAAAGATTTATTGGATGAAATATCCCAACTACTTGCAACATTAAAAATGGCAATTAAATTCCTCTACATACTCCATACATGCCTCCTAGACATTAGCTGCACATTATGCGGGTATCAGCGGCCATCCCGAGAGGTCGACCCCCGGGCAACCCAAGGGCAACCCACGGGCTTAGCAGGGGATTTGTAGCAAAGGCATGCCCCGCACGCGGGGCATTAGAGCGCTTTTGCGTTTTTGGCAAAATACCCCGGGGCCATACCCACGGGATTTGCGAGCGGATAAAAAATTCAAGACACTCGGCGATCCAAGAATCTGTTCATTGCATTTTAAGGAAAGCGACATCGAGATTTCAATTTCATACGGTTAGTTCGCATTCGAAGCGTCGTGCCGATAGGAAGAGACAGTGTGATGAACAACCGCAAGCCAAGAAAGTTTGCCCCAGAAAGCTCGAATTTGAGGACTCCATAGAGACTTGTGTGGATTTTAGTGCTGATGTGGCTTCAGTAAACCATGATCACTCGTACTTTTGCATCGAGGAACAGGCAACACCGATTATATGTTGCCCAGGTTGCTCCAGGGGTGGGGGTATTTGTCCCAATTTTTTGCCCTACCCGAGGGGCTTTAGCATGTTTTTGTCACGGCAGCTGTGACAAATGCCCCTGGGTGCCCGGGGGTCGACCCCTCGGGATGGCCGCTGATACCCGCATTACTTCAAACACTTTTTACTGTATTGAAATAAATATGTACAGATGTTTTATCTAATTGTGTTAAAAAACATTTTTCTTTTTTGCATGATTATATAGGTTACTTATTTTCGTTGAAATTAATTCTGTATGGAACCAAAGAGGACTCTCTCGCAAATAAACACCTTCATGTTGATAGGAAAACAAAAACCCTTAAGCTCACGGAATGTTTACATCAGTGAACGCAGAGGAGGTCAGTCAAATATCTTCTGACATATTTCGATCTTGAGTTTTGAAATAACCTGTCGTGTTTTCAATTCCTAGATTTTACCCTCAAGTTGGGGGAACGACAAATAGTCACAAGCTTTTAGCAAGCTATTCTTACATCCAAACGAAGATTATCCTAACCGAAAGTGGGAAAAAGAGAAAATCTGAATTGCCCACGAGAATTTCGTGGCCATATGCTCATCACGAGTTCTCTTAAACCAAGAGAGGATGTGGAAATTTTCTCTTGGCGGAGCATCCGACGGCAAAATGCGACCCTCCGAAGCTCCAATCCCCCCAAGCGACAAATCATCAGCATCACTTTTAATTAGTTACACAAAAGCGCTGACCTTTGAAATTCATTACCCATAAAAGTTGTAATAAAATTGATGCCGTTAGAAAGCAAGTAGTCATGGGTTATTGACCAAGCGTGAGGTCAATATGGCTACATACAAGTGTGTGGAGAAAAATTTTCGGAGTGAAAATGCCATTTAAAAGAAGTATGTTAAATTCATTTAAATGCGAAGTCTCAAATTCCATGACATTTTCAACTTCTCACGGGTAAGAAGGGGCGTAACCTGGGGGAGGGGGGGGGGTTGATCCTGAGTCGTTAGAATACCTGCCAACTCTCCCGGTTTTCGCGGGAGTCTCCAAGTTTTTCATCAAATCTCCTGGTCTCCCTGTTAGAACACCAAATCTCCCGGGAAATACCT